TTACATATTGTTACATATAGTTTGTTTTGATATCAAGTCGCTCATGTCTATCATGCTTAGCCTCGAGATGTGTAGACTCATAATTGGCAGTTGCTGTTTACCACTACATATTCATGCCGTGACAACATCCAAGTGGGAGTTTGGTAAAGGCAGTAGAGAGAAGTCCAAGTGGGAAGCAGAGTGAGGATAGAGCCGTGAATAGACAGGGGAAGGAGTAAGTTCATCTCCCCATCTACAACTATGCACAATCTGTAAGGATCCCCCTGCGAACGGCGGCAATACTTTTCTCGAAAATGGATTCATCATGTAAAACTACTATATCTTTTTTACCAATATGATGGCTAATAATATAATAAAATAGTATAGAGTATTTGCGCAGCGATGAGCAAGGTTTGTGCTGCATTTATGCGAGACTGTTCTTCACGTCGCCGACAGAGCTGCGAAAGAAGGAGCGCGTGAGTGAGGAGTGAGGCCGGGAGCCAAGACTCGTCCCCGGCGGCCGCACGAGTCACTAGCCGTACATCCCATCGCCCTTACAAAGGTCAGCAAGGGAGAAGAGGAGGAGGCTGAACGAGGAGCGCGCGGCAGAAGTGCATGCCGAATAGGAGGTAAGCGGTACCTAGACACATCGTTGTCCAGCTCACAATGAGGCTGCTTTGGCACTTTGCTCCATTGCACTTATCCCGACAACACCACCCGCCCGTTCATACCACAGCGTGTGACAACCGCCTTCGGCTCACTCCCTCAAGAGGTTTATTGTGGCAAGTACATAATTGTTAGTAAGCAGAAATATATAACCAGAAGTTAAATGGCACGAAACGGTGGCGGCCGTCACTTATATCTTCCTATGCTCACTCCGAGCGTTTACGGCGCGGTGTTCGACATGCTAATGCTAACGCGCTGTTTGTTGCTACTTGCTAGCTGAAAGGTTATAAAGTCATCAGGATGAGCATGGAGGCCGCCAAGCGTTCGCGGAAGAGCGGTATCCGTTTGCGAAACTAGGTGGCGCAGCTACAGAAAAGAAACTGTTGAATAAGGTAAGCGAGGATTGCAGGCAGAGGGTTGTTAAATCCTCATCCGTTTCGAAGTATGATGCCATTCGTCGTGGCAGCGATGGCCGTAGGGGGGCTGGAAGTCACACAAGGCTATAGATTGTGATATGAGCTGTAGAAAATTGTGTCATTGACCTTACAAAACTGCAAGCATTAAATTCTGGATTTGTTCTATACTGATAACCATGGTTCGTACAGGTCCATTGAAAAGTTCTTAGAATTATGAGGGGAGTCCTGAAAAGTAGCTTGAATTTAATAAATGTTGAATTTGTGCTTGAAAAAGTCCTTGAATTTCATGAAAATGTCTCCTTGTAATTTCATAAAAAATGTCCTTGAATATTTTTAGAAGAATCATTTGCCATGTAAATAAAAAGAAGTTTTGTAAGCATCAATAATGTGTAAACCATCAATAAAAAATTGCATTAAATGAGCTTAAATAGCCTATGATACAGATAGACAAGTTAAATGATGATACACAAATTACAAGTAAGTCAGCTAAAATGCAGTCAGTAAATCAAGGTATGTTGTAGAAGTGACAGTGTTTAGAAGGGTTATCTATATGTGATCCAGGTAATTTTAGAGGTGACATGCATGGTTAAGAATGGGGAATATTAAATATAATTCAGGTAATGTTTTAGTTCTGTAGTATGAATTCCGATAGAAATGTCTGATAAAATGCCTTGAATTCCGAAAAAATGTCCACTTTGAAAAGTCCTTGAAAAAAAATTCAAGTCTTCCTGTAACGAACCAATGATACATATTACGCGGATGGAGCACAATTGCTCTCAAAATCGGCTCCTGACGTTACCTCTCTGCCATAGATCGCCTGATGTTACATCTTTTTAATGTATAGTCGCCTGTTGTTACATCTTTGCAATGCAGGGTGCGAAATTAACGTGAGTCTGGAGTTAAATACGCCCCTGATTTACCTGTCGGACTCCGTGATTTGACATATGCAGGAGTCCGTGCGACTCCGCTGAAAATTCTGCCTAACTAGTTGGTCTAGAGACACAGCCTCGCGGAATTAGCTAATGTCAAAGAAAGTTGGGCAGAGCGTGCAACCGCATGAATCTTCAAATAAGCACATGCGTTATTACCGCCGCCAAGGGTTGGCAGGAGGTTATGTTATTCACCGGCGTGTGTTTGTTGGTTTGTGGGTTTGTTTGTGTACAGCCTACTGAAAAAGTTATGGACGGATTGTCATAAAATTTTCAGATAGTCACAAATGGGCTAACTTAGAATTGATTAGATTTTTGGTGGTGATCCGGATCCAATTAATTAATAGATATTCAGAATAGGTCAGAAATGGGGTAACTAAGAATTGATTACATTTTGGTGGTGATCCGGATCTAAATAATTAATTTAATTAATTAATTAAATTAAATTTTTCAGGATAGGTCAGAAATGGGGTAACTTAGAATGGATGACATTTTGGTGGTGATCCGGAATCCAATTATTATTTAATTAATTATTAATTGAATTTTTCACAAGTGAGAGAATTGAGCTGCCTTGGCGGAGGTCTGCGCTCTCCGGTGCTCTAGTTGTTAATATCTTTAAATTTGAACCTCAGACTGCAGAACGCCCTCTTTTGAGGGTAGGGAGTCTCTTGGACTTCCGTGTTCAAAAGTTAATTTCTACCCCTGCAATGTATATCCCGACGTTACATGTTCGCTATGTATGTTCCATCGCTGTTACATCTTTGCAATGTATATTCCTCCGTCGTTGGCATCTTTGCAATGTATATTCGGATTTCCTCCATCGTTACATCTTTTCAATGTGAAGTCCCCCAACGATAAACCTTTTGACGTATATAATCTCTGCAAGGAAGGAGAAACAGGACGAGAAGGATCGAGAGGCCGAGATCGAGCGGCCATAGATGAAGGATCGGGAGAAGGTGACGAGTGGCACCGCGGCGCGCGAGCGGGAACGGCAAGCGCGAGCCGTCGTCGCAGCCGCCGTCGAGCGTAGCCGCGGCCGCCAGCCCACGCGTCGTCGACAGCAGCAGGAGCGACAGCCGCTCACCGACGGCCGTCGTCGAAGCGACGCAGCAAGGGCGGCGAGGAAGCGCGCCCGGTGAGTGGTCCCGGCGTCGCCGGCCGCAGCCGCGTAGCCCGTTCGCCGTCAACGTTTCGGCGTGTGCCACGTAGAAATTCGTGGCGATCTGATGATGGCGATTCGAAATACTTGCAGGTCACCGCCGGCCGCGTACAAGGAGCAGACGGATTCGCCGCCCTTGTCCCGGCGCGGCAGTCAAGGTCGCCTCGCCAGCGAAGGTCACAGCGCCCATCAAGGTCGCCCAAAACAATCGAAAAGGGTGTGGAGTTGACAGATATTATATGACAAAATAAATGTTAGATGGAATAGATAGGTGTAGTGGAGCTTACACGCTGGCTAATTGCAAGAAATGTGGTCTCCATGCTGTATGACGTCCATGCTGTACTCCATGCGCATGTTTGTCAACCAACCGCCAAACTTACGACCTGACATCGCGCGTGGAGGCGTAAACAGTCGAGGCGGGTTTTTGTGGCGTGACGTTTCTTTTTTATTCTCCGACTTATGCAGATCACATCGGGGTCCAGGTCACCACGACACAGGTCACACAAAAAAAGACCAAGCGTTGGTGGCGTCGTGGCCGCAGTGGCTGGCCATTATCTGTAAATATTGAGCGCTTTCTCTTTAATACTGTCACAAATATCGCGTCGCTGTCTCTCACCCAGATGGTGCACGTGTAAATTGTCGACCGACCAAACGCACGTGCTTTTTGGGCAGTGCACGTAATGCTGTTGATTCAGTCAGCCATGGTTTCTAGCCTTGGGAAGAAAAATTATTTGTAGTCACTTTGCGTATGATGAGCACGTGTACGCATATACTCCATAGAGTACTGTGTCTCGTAAGGTGCCAAGTGTCGTAATGATTTGCTTTGGTTTACTCGTGAATGAATTCTTCAATCGAAATTATAGGTCGAGGTTAATATTACAATGTATGGTTAATGAGTTGTTTCAGTATCCTACCGCTCGTAGGGTCTATGTCCCCCTGACCTCCCCTGTTTGACCCTGGCTCGTTAGCTATTTTCTGACTAACCCTAACCCTAACCCTATATATATTATATATTTATATTATATATATATACTTAGCGCATGTGCTTATTTTGAAGATTCATGCGGTTGCACGGCTGCCAAATTTTCTTTGGACATTAGCTAATTCCGCGAGGCTGTGCTCTAGAACTAACTAGTTAGGCAGAATTTTCAGGGAGTCGCACGGACTCCTGCATATGTCAAATCAGGGAGTCCGACAGTAAATCAGGGAGTATTTGACTCCGGACTTGCGTTAATTTCGCACCCTGCATTGCAAAGATGTAACAACAGGCGACTGACTATACATTACAAAGATGTAACATCAGGCGACTATCTATTGCAGAGAGGTAACATCAGGAGCCGATTTTGAGAGCAATTGTGACCCCATCCCGTGATATGTATCATTAGAACAAAATCCAGAATTTATGTTGCAGTTTTGTAAGGTCAATGACACAAGTTTCTACAGCTCATATCACAATCTAAGCCTTGGTGCTTCACAGCGGTATCGCTGCCACGACGATGGACCATCTTGAAAACGGATGAGGATTTAACAACCTCTGCTGCAATCCTCCTTACCTTATTCAACAGTTTCTTTCTGTAGTGCTGCACCTGTTCCGCAAACGGAATACCGCTCTTCCGCGAACGCTTGCCGGCCTCCAGCTCATCCTGATACTTTATAACCTTCAGCTAGCAACAGCAACAACAGCGCGTTAGATTAGCATGTCGAACACGCGGCAGTAAACGCTCGGCAGGAGCAAGGAAGATAAAGTACGACCGCCACCGTTTCGTGGCATTTAACTTACTTTATATATTTTGCTTATAACATTATACTTGCACCAATAAACCCCTTGAGGATGACCGAAGGCGGTTGTCACACCGTGGTATGAACGGTGTTGGGGAAAGTGCAAGGAGCAAAGTGCAAGCAGCTCACTTGTGAGCGGACAACGAGTGCTAGGTACCGTACCTCTATCTCGCGCAGCTTCTGCCTCCGCTCCTCGTTCAGCTCCTCCTTCTCCTTGCTGACCTTGTAAGGGACGAGGGAGTACGGCGTGACCTCGTGCGGCCGCGGGGACGAGTCCTGGCTCCCGGCCTCCTCCTCACTCACGCGCTCCTCTTTTGAGACTCTGTCGGCGACGTGAAGACAGTCTCGCATAAATGCACACAAACCTTGCCATCGCTGGCAAATACTCTACTACTATTATTATTATAATTATTAGCATTATCATTGTAAAAAAGATATAGTAGTTTTAACATGATGATCCATTTCGAGAAAAGTATGCGCCGTCGCAGGGGGACCTTACAAATGTGGCGCATAGTTGTAGATGAGAGAGAACTTACTCCTTCCCCTGTCTATCACGCTCATCCTCACTCTGCTCCCACTTGGACTTGCTCTCTACTGCCTTTACCAACTCCCACTTGGATGTTGTCACGGCTGAAAGTAGTGGTAAAAGCTGGCAATTAGGTATACACATCTCGAGGCTAGCATGAAGACATGGCGACTGATACAAAACAAACTATACGTAACGATATGTAACAAGCAATACGTAACATACAATACCTAATGAATGATACATAATGATACGTAACAAACGATACATAAGAAACAATGTGTAATGATACATAACAAACGATAGACATCAAACAATATGTAACACAATACTGAATGAACAATACGTAACGATAAGTAACGAATAATACATAACGATACGTAACAAATGATGCATAACAAACAATATATAATGACACGCAACAAATGATACGTAACGAACAATACACATATATACGTAATGATACGTAACAAATGATGTATAACAAACAATATATAACGAAACGCAACAAATCATACGTGACGGCCGAAACGTAACGAACAATACACTTCTATACGCGACGTCATGTATAAACAATCGACGCACAACGCCTCGTCTATCTCTCGTGCGCACGCGCGCGTCACCTTGCGCCTCCAGCTGCGTCGGGTCGACCTCCTCCCACTTCGACTTGATGAGCTTCGGCTTCGGCGGCTCGACGCTCAGCGGTATGCCGTCGATGTCCTCGTCGTCGCGCATCGGCATCGGCACGCCGTCGACGTCGTCGCCATTGTTGCCCTCCATCGGAGCCCCATCTACGCCGTCGACCGACACGCCGTCGACGTCCGCCTCCAGGGGCATGCCGTCGAGTTCGACGTCCGTGCGCGGCTTTGCGACCTGCGAGAGACGTCGACAGAGGCGGGTGATGGGGATTCAACGGCCGCGAGGGATCGCGATCGGAATTTGCGGCCCATCGTCGTTGGAAATGTTTTATTATTTTATTAATGGTTATTGTTAACTCAAGGGGCTTGTCGTTGTTGAAGCAATACGTGTGACTCTTAATTAATGGCTATTGTTAAGTCCAAGGGCCTGTCGTCGTTGGAAATGTCGCGAATATGTGCGACTATTGTAAGTCCAGGGGCCAATCGTCGTTGGAAACGTTGCAAATATGTGCAACTATAGTCCAGGGGCCCTGTTGTCAGGACGTCAAGCTGAAACATCGTAAATAGGCATGACATAGTAAGATGGCTAAGATGGCATGACTCTTGCACATAAAGTATAGCGCAAGAGTTTCACACCTTACACTTGTGACGGTCATACGAATTTTCGACGTGCGTCTGACAACGGACCCCTGAAGACAACGGCCAGCAGGCAGACGTTGCGTGTGCAAAGGACTAACCACTCGACGAGCCACACCACGCCAGAGATGCCAACACATATTTGAAGCAATCTGTAGTTTCTGGCCATCAAATTAGTAGTTTGAGGGTCACGTAGTGACCTAAGTTTGCTAGGGGGATCTGGCATGCCCCCCAGAAAATTGTTTGATTCTGAGATGCAATTTCCTGCATTCTGAGGGTCATAAATTGACAAAAAATGAGAATAATTGACTAAAATGTTTTTTTCCGATCACAGTGAAATTCGTAGTTTGATAGAAACTGGTCTTAGTGGTGCAAAAGGAATAGAAATTCGTATAAAATACGAATAAATCGTAGTGGTTGGCACCTCTGCCACGCGCACTCCCTGTGAAGGAGACGCCAGTGAGTACCCACCTCGGCTGGAGCTTCTGGCGGCGCCACGAGGCCGAGGAAGATGTTTTGCAGCTTGATGAGGAACGCGGACGGGTACAGCGCCCAGTCCTCCCACGCACGGAAGCACTGCATCACGCGTTGCTGCAAGAAAGCGATACGTAACGTTCAACCGATCAGGTACATCGTCGGGGTCGACGAAAAATCTTCTCCGTACGTTTGTCGTACGCCGTTAGATTCGGACCCGAAATGTCAAAATTCGACCCAACTGTTGCTACAGCAGCTGATTCAGTAACAAGTGCCTTTATTAACCTGTGGCTTTTTAACACGTTCAACGCTGCCGGTGTTAACAATGCACCTACCGCCCTGCGCTGGGATTTTCGGGTTTTTACCGCGTATTCACTTTTTGATTTATCACGTTTCCTTTGCAGGAAAGCTAACCAAACTGACACATTTACTCTGCATGAGTGTTATCTCACCCTTACACGTTCAAATAGTATGAAAATCGTTTCCCTTCATAATGATATATTGATATGAAAACAGGGGAAAAACTGACATTTCGTGCATTTTTGTATCAATTGCCACCGCACCGGTGGATTTTCGCGAGTTTGTTATGATATCATTCGACAGATTGTATACTATTTTTCCCGGTAAGAAATGTGACAACGCTTACACATGTGTGGGGTATGAACCTTGTTTTGTTTTTCTACATGCAAAAATACATTGAAATTTTATATACTACACAGTTACTTTATTATATACCGTTAGGAAAACGGTAAAACAAACCTCGTTTCGATCCAAGCCTTCTAGTTTTACAAATTTACCTTGAGTCTCAAAACTCATAATTTCACGTTCGAATCAACGGTAGAGCATTGTATTCTTTAGTACATGTAAGACTGGGGTAATATAGACTGTCCCTGTTTAATTTATAGGTAGGTAATGCCTGCCATCTGTTGGAAATCAGAGTAAAAATAACCAATAATCTATCCACGAGCTGACTCGTGGATCCGCGGGGATGCGTTTCGATTGTTCCCACGAGCTGACTCGTGGATCCGCGGAGAACGTGTTAATGACCGATGCAACAACGTCGAACCGATGTCGAATCGCGGCACACGCACCTTGAACTGCTCGGCTCTGAGCCGCCCTGAGATGTTGCTGTAAGTGGTGTGAACATCACGGAATATGCCCGGAAGCCGCGTCTCAAAGTTGCGCCGGTAGAACGAGGCGTTGGGAATCTTTGCGCTACTGTTGTACAGAATGTCCGACACAAGGTACAGTCTTGCAATCTGTGAACACAAGCCAAGAAGTGAGACTTACTTACACACTTAGTATTTAGACACAGTGATTGCAAACGGTAGGGTATAACCTGGTATATACCCCGTACTCATCATTTCTTTCGTAACTGTAATTGTAAAAACCGTAAATTGTAACAGTGAGTCGTTTAATTTTTTTATTATATTCCTAAAGCTAACGTGTCCTAACGACTGGACAATGGCCAAAACCTTTACCACAAGGTTTTTACAGGGCATGAAAAAAATGGATAGCACAAGGAAGAGAGATTTACACAGATTTAAACGGACACATCATGCGTCCGAGACACCGCAAACTCGAGTCGAACCTTCTTAGGCAGCGGAGTCTGTAGAATGGACAAAGATTCAGCGATGCACTCGACCACCTCTTCTGCCGCCTCGGAATGTTCGAGGCAGAAGATCATCGTGTCGGCGACCTTGACCCTGTCCGGTGTTAGCCCCCGCAGCATGTCCTCCAGCCGGTCTCGCTGGCTGCAACACCGGGGAAATAGATGCAATCATCATCAGCAACATCATCATCGTCGTCATCATCATAATCACCGTCGGTGTCCTCACTATCACCATCACCATCATCATCATCATCATCACCATAACCAGACATCAACGGTCGAGTACTAGTACTCTTTATCGACTCAATACGATACACGGTGTGGATGTGCATACGTACAACGCTTGCAATGCAAGATGACAGTGAATTAAACAAACGTTTGCCAACTTGCTAGAAGTCTGCAATTAAACGCAGGCTGGTTATTATTCGCATATGGCCATCTGCAGATAGCGCCACCGTGCGCAGAACCGGCAGTGGCTGGCTGCGAATTGCTTCTTGCCACCAACAACGACGCAGGCAGTCACGCGTACCACACCAAACACGACAGTAGCAAGCACGTATCTACGACTGCACGCATACCTGTTACTCAGCTGGCCCTTCTTCTGGCTCTCCTTGTCTGGAGTCTCGACGGGCTCGGGCATGCCCTGCAGGTACGGGTTCATGGGAGGCGGCCGCCATATCGAGCCGTTCTTAAACATCCTGAACTCGTCTGCCCTCCACTTGTTTGGTGTGTCGCCCTGCGCACATCACCCACCCAACAACGTTCTTATCGTGAGCCGTCGTTCAAAGCTTACATACTACACGGATAACTATACATTAAAATGTTTTATTCCGTATAAAATTATATATTCTAACGCCACCCGAGAGATGTTACGTTTTGAAACAAAACGCGAATGGGTAACTCTGGTTTGCCTATAGGGAGGTGCGGTGCACAGCTTTTACTGACATTTTGCCGAACTTCAAACCGACACGATTTAAACATAGCAAGGGTTTAATTTGTGGAGGATTGGCAAACCTGAAGTACAGAGAACGTCTTCCACCGGTAGTAAACGTGCGCCGGACTCTGGTTTTCAAACAGGAACCTAAATTACAATGCAAGAGCAAGACCTACTTAGTCATTTTTAACTAGAAAAACCCCTCACCATGTTCTTCTCTATGCCCCCAAGATAATGACGCTACACCCAACTCAGTTTTATGACAGGGGTAGAGAATGACATTTCCTTACATTGCCGCATGCAAAAGGATGGCAGGACTCACCTAAACATGGGGTTATTTAGTTCTTTGTTCATGATCATTGCCTCGAACATTGGTCCTTCACGCACAACAAACTCCACCATGCGATGAATGAGAGACAGCATTGACCTGATGGCAAAGGGAGAATAACACGTCACAGCAAAACGGCAAGGTCCACTGCTTCACTGCCCTGCCTCACTTTAGCCACCAATCAGAGGTTCTTTCCGGTCATGCCTGTCAAATACGGGCATATACTCAATTCCGTTTCAAACACTGCTAGAATTAGTAACACTAATGCCTTCAGTGAGTTCAGTGGACTTGGCCTTGAAACACAATTGCAAAGAAAATCATAAGATGCACAATGTAATCAATACGATTTCAGCATTTGTTTTTCAATGCAGCCAACAACAAGAAGTCACTAAGGATGCCTTAACCTAATGAAATTTTATACATTCCACAGCTTGTGATTTCAGTTTTTTTCCCCCACCCGTCCAACTGCTAAAATAAATCTGAGTTATCTATATGTACATTACACGTGAACGCCCCCGTCCCAGCTCAGATACAAAGCTTCCTATTTATGCTATTTTCATGAGTATTTTTTCGATAAAACGCGGTCATGTTGATGTAGTTCCACTCTGGCGGTTAGGGCGAGGTGGTACAGGCGACATCACTCTTCTCTCCTCTCTTTGTCCAATGCCGTTCCAACTGCCGGAAGTCCAACTGACGGTGCACTAAGGTACTGCTTGGCGTAGTTTGAATAATAGTTTTCCCTCTTTACCGCCCCCCCATATTCTGCAGAATCGAGCACACAGACTGGAATACCACCGGTATGTGCTGCGTAGACACTTGGTTGCCATTCAGAGAAATCTTAGAGACTTTGGTTAACTTGGCCGAATGTGACACGCTACAATCGTGGGTAAAGTCATACACAGGATTGATGCCAACACTATAGTTTTTTCATCGACTACATTTGAACTTTGCTATCAGATGCATTTATGTGAATTTCATGAATTAAATGGCCCAACTTTTACCTACTCAAAATTCCTATACACTCCAACACTCCCAATTGGTAAATTAAACCATGCCAAAATCATTTACACTAATCAGCTGGCAATTATCAGCTGGGAACCCTAAGTTAGAGGAGACTATGGGGTGGTGTGATATCTAATTATTTCGGCAATGTTGAGAATTATAAGCAAGGCAGCGATGAACGGTCAACCAGCGCCCACCAACATCAAACCATTGGTCTTCCGCTCTGTGGCAATTTCATACAGTTACCAATGAGAAACTGAGAGAGAGAGAGAGAGTAATTCGAGCAAGCAGTACCTTTCCGTAGGAATCACAACCTTGACTACTGCATTGGATAGTAGCTGCAGACATGACAGATGAAAACATGAGAAGACCGGTGAGAAACTGAGCAGCATCAATTTACCAAACAAGGCAGGTATGTAAATCATAACGGGAGGGACTAGAGACTAGCCGAGCAAAATTTCGCCATTGAAAATGACATAACACGAATTGCGACTATCGTGACAATTAAAAAAACAAAAACAAAACGTAAACGTAGGTTTACCCGTATTTCACGCGTGCCACTTTTACGATCGACTAATACTGCTGCCTTTAGATTACACATGCTCAACGACAAAAATAACCAAGACAACAATTACGAGAACATCGGAGGGCTTTTGCTGTTACCTTATCCCACTGCCTCTGCTCTTCCAATGTCTCAAGTGTTGGTTGCTTTCCAGGAGGTGGGAGTAGTTGCTTGTCTCTAGGATGGGCTTGAGCATTAAAAGGCAATCCTGAGGGGGGAGGAGGAAGAGTCATCTCTAGCATGGCTGGAGGTATGTAAACGGGCTGAGGAGGAATAGGAACGGCTTTTCCCCATCCCATCTTCATTTCGAAGGACATGACTTCCTTTCCTAAATAAATTTGCACCAAATAATTACGCACGGTTTCAAATCGCCACCCGGCATTTCAACGAATAAAATCACGACGACGATGCACAAAGAAGCTCCGACTAGCAGTGCGAAGGACACGTGTACGTGTGCAACACTCGAGTAAGAGAGACGCGCGCGCGCACGCAATGAGTCCTTTTACCTTGTAGCGTCTCGAGCGCTCGCTCGCCATCCTTCCTTAGCATGAAGGCGACGAAGCCGCAGTTCCTCCCTCGCTGAGCCTCCTCCTCCGAGCGTGGCCACATGATTTTAATACTCGCCAACGGGCCAAACTTGCCAAATATTTCACACAGTTCCTTCTCTGTCATCTGCGGCAGTTTCAACACGTTTGAATGACGAGACGCGTCCGGATAAACAACCATGCGCGTGCATGCACGCACACCCACACGCGTAGACAGCCGTGTGGCGTGATGCGGTGCAGCCAGACAGAAGCACGTCTTTACAGCAAAACAGAGGCGATAAATTCACAACGTTTGCGCGTGTGGCGGGGCGACAGCTCGGCACTGCGACTTATTACCTTTGGGTTGAGATTCCCCAGGTACAGGTTGGTGGTCTGCGGATCACCATTGTCGTGGGAACCGTAACCGAGAGACTTGTCGAACTCGTCTGCAACATTACCGACAAATAATGATAAAATGCCCTATGTCCATAGTGATTTCTACTCAGAGTTTTTATCATGAGACAAGAAACAATAGCATATTGCCTTACCACTACAACTTCAACATCATTATCAGTTCATAGCGGCTTAGTGATACATAGGCAATGTATTTCTTGAAAGTAAATAAGTAAACAGCTGTACTGAAACAACCACAGTCCTAAAAGACAACATACCCATTGGATCAGGTTTTGCTAATAAGGACTCCAACATAGGATCAGGGTCCTCCCCACTCAACATCTTTTCTTTTAATTCTTTTTTCAACCGATGTCTTTCTTCCCGTTCCTCTTGCACCCTAGAGATGGCCCACAAAAAAGGCAAAAGCCATTACATCTAAGACTACAAAACTAACCGATGATCGCACAAGACTATTGACAAAAGCTAAGTTTGCAAGTATGTCTTTCTTCAAAATAAAAATAGAACTAGCCTGGTTGATGGTATCAGGCAATACAATTTTAGCCCAGGGAGTAACTGTTCTTTTTAATTGCAAATAAATCAATATTCATTGCTATGATTTTTCACATGTCATCTAATTGCTTGATTAAAATTAACATGCACACTCCACATGCCTTCTCAGCTCCTCTTTAAAAATCTCAAGATTGCTTTTAGGTTTTTCGCCTTTCTTTTTTGCTCTATCCCGATCTGACTTGTCCTTATCTCTGTCTCGCTCCTCCTTAAGCTTCTTCGTTGACTGGAATGACTGGGCAAGTTCCTGCAGTTTGGAGGTTGGTCTGTAGATCTTGGGACCGTGTGAGGTGGCTTCACCTGTATAGCACACAAACATCGGGATTTTCCATAGCTGGACCATTTTTAGTCCACAATATCAGACAGGGTTTGTGCACTTAAATTTAAACGGTTTTCACACAGTTGTTCAGATTTTAAGGGTCTATTATCCATGACTGAGAGATTTTATTCAAGTACCCTTTTTGTGCCTCGTACCACCTAATCAAATATTAGTGAGCAACATGGTCTTGTGCTCAATCACAAGAATATTTCAGGACCAAAAATAACATTAAACTAATATCCAGGACTTTCTAGGACTGTAGTTTAATTTCCAGGGCAATTTGAAAATTCTGGACATTTTCCAGGTTTCCGTATGAACCCCAATCACAGAAATGTGTGTACTAATAATGTGTGTTTATAAATTTAGCCATGATCTGTCTTAAAGTAACTATTGCGAGAGTTTTCCAGTGTTTTCCCCACTTTCATGATACTTACCGTCATTGCTTGAGTAACAGCAATTGTCTAGAGTAACAATAAAATGTCTTAGAACCTTCGTATTCACCAAATCATGCACGATTATAATTTTGCGTTCTGTTTATGTTTACCGTTGCCATCTCTCGGACTTTCTCGTGGTAGCGCGAGACATATCACAGTGCAGTAATGCATATAGTCGCACCGCAGAAATCAGGTCAGAGTTTAAACACAGACGTTCATACTAGCGTAACAGGAGTGTAGTACTAATGCCGCGTAAAGTCTGTTATTAGAGAAGCTTGTGGAATACCAGTCCGATAGTAACACGGGAATGACAATGACAGAAAGCGCTCTGAATTATTGACATAAAAACTCAATAATATTTACCACACAGAATTGCACGCCCTTTTGTTTTAATTATGCACTTGGTTTGAAGGCGCATTTGTGATTTTGAGAGTCGGCATACGATAAAATTTATTGCTGGTATGTGGTAAAATCCATTTTTCTATGCTATAACTGCATAAAATCTTAGTGTTTTTAATGTTGGTGTAATCAGTGATATATCCGCTGTCAGGTGAGACTATATTTAGCTATATTTAGTTTTTCTGAGCAAAAATCTCGCAAATAGTAAGTTTAATAGGTAATTACAATATTTACAGGTTTAATGGCATACAACACTCAAATAAGATTAATTCTATTTGATCAATTCTATCAATAATCCAGTTATCTATCCATGGGCATATGTATAAATACATGTGTGCTTACGTTGCAATATACAACAAGCTTTTGACTAGGATTATACTTACTCTTTGTATCTGGGTCGATGATGTTACCCCTAACAAAGGTTTTCCCTATTGTTGGGTTGTCGTCAAAGGATGCCACAAAGTCTTTAAAAACTTCCGCTGTGGCCACTTCATCTTCCTGGATATGTGTATAGTGCAAAAACAATTAGGTTTTGGTAAATGTAGGTCATATAATTTAAATCGAGACAAGTTTTTTAACAGAAATCCTTACACGTATAACGGTAAATTAGATTATGTGAACTGCAGTAAATTTTACAAACATGCTTATACTTATAGGGCATAGTAATTACACATTTGCACAAAAAGTTTCTTTATGGTATATACTTTTTGCAGTGAGTGTTATTGATAATATCAGGAGTAAGATAATATAGACCTATATTATCTTACTCCTGATAATATCTAACAGTACCAGTAAAGTCTTGGTATAAGGTTTACCTTTTTACGGAGATCATCCAACTCCTTCTTTGAAAGTTTCTTCGCTGACATAGTTATCAATCAGTCTGTTTTTCTTTACATGAAATAGACCTGAAATGTGTGATTATTGTGTAAAGAAAATGTGATTCAGTTTATCAGAAATATTATTATGCCTATGAAAGATGTGTAATAAAAGGTGTTGCAATGTTGCATACTGCCATTACTGTGATTGTTTGGTATATTAGCCATCTCTAGCAGCAGTAGTACATAGCAGGGGTATGTGTCACTGTCACCATCGATGCATCCCGTGGCAGTAGAAATAGCCCAAGAGTCAAGTCAATAAATAAGCTATAGATCGCATCAAAATATTGTGTATAATTTACTCATTTAGTATTAATTCTGATAGATTGATCTATTTGAAGTACCAGATTTGACTTCCTACACTACAATTAATATTAGTAACTTCAAGTTCTACATACTGGTGACGTAGAAATACGTTGAGTTATTCAACTTCAATAGAAAATCAAATCAGTTTCAGTAGAACTAGAACCACCAGAACTTCCTTTCCTTATGGAGGAACTGCTACAGCAGGTGGACAGTGAGGCAAATTTTAGCGAGTTCCGTGCAGACATTACCAGGCTACTGGGAGAGTATATCACCCAGACCGACCGCCTGTAACTGTAAATATCACCGCCACCATCTGTTTTTAAAGTTTAGAAAATACAAGAGTGCAATAATGATGTATGACTTCGTCATGATGTCATGACTAACAGCAGGCATCCCGAGAGCATTCGATCTTCGAGCCGAAGTTAGCCGAATGCTATGCGCATTGGGAATCTGTATGTCACAGGTCAACAGAAATGGCGCTCGAAATATCGCCGCTCGTCACTTCGAAATTTTGTAACAGGTTACAATAGTTTAATACAGAGTATTGTGATACATAGTAAGTCCCAGGATAGCAAAGAAAGATTCGTGTTTAGAATAAACCCAGTTTGGAAGTTGTAGTCTCGAAAAACGCACCATAAAACCGCCCTGAGTGAATCACTCAAGGGCTCCTCCAAAGAAAAGAATAGGCTCGCGTTGTAACCCTACTGTTGTTGGGTTACATTATTGTATCTATACTGAGTGTGACCGTGAAGCCGATGCGGGGGGTGTGGGGGTACTCCCCCAGAAATTTTTTTAAATTTAGAGCCTGGAAATGGCATTTCCCGCATTTTCAGGCTATGTTGAAAGCAACCAATTCTGATCATTTTAAAAGGTCAATTTGTAAATTTCAAAGAGGAATGTAGCTAAAGCTGATGTTTTGACTAAAGTATCTAAAATATATATTGTGAGTATGATAACTAATAAAACATTGTTTACAAAATTTTATCAGTAGGCCTACATCGTACTATACATAGTAATAGACATAGTAATCTATGATAGTACGTACTACTACATAGTAATATACTATCAGTACATAATTATGAAAAATAATATAGTTACCTCCGCGCAAACGGAGGTCATGCAATCGCTCGCGCGCGCGTGTGTGTGTGTGTAGCCACCGCGCGATCGATAGCGCGTCGAGTCAGCGAGCGGCGAGTCAGCAGCAGCCACCAGTGAGCAGCGAGTCAGTCAGCAGCCGCCACCAGCGAGCACATACATGTTACATGCTCGCGGAGGTATGCACTCTCCGTGAGTGCCCTCTGTCTAGTTTTTAATATTTCCGTTCTAGTGCATCGTACTTCATAATACGTTGAAGCCGGGCCATGAAGGCATGCATGCAACGTGTGTGTGTGTTTGTGTGTGTGCGTGCGTGCGTGCGTTGTCTGTGTGTGTGTGTGTGTGTGTGTGTGTGTGTGTGTGTGTGTGTGT